CTTTCAGGCATGATGTTGACAGAAAAAAAATGACACCCACACAGTAATTACAGTAGTAATTTAAAAGAAGTCCAGATTTACTATTTAACAAACTAAGTACCCTGGGAAGACAGCATCGTACACCAGTACTAAAAGTGGCATTTTGCATTCTCTTCCAACTATCACTTAAAAATAACTGAGTATGAAGCACGTGCAGAACATAAATAAATGGTATAGAACTCAACTATCACACAATGCCTGATGGGCTTCGTTTCTCTGAGTAAAAATGGTAATAATGGCTGTATTTGTACAGTATACAGTATATTATGTGTATTATGGTTCTATGCAAGCTTTACTCGGGGGGATGTTTTTGACTTATTGTGTAGAGTCACTTACAGTGCTTTGTAACTGAAAAGAAAGGCACTAGTATACAAGTATACAAGTAACAAAGCTTGTCGGGCAGTCGGACCGAAAAGAAAAAAAAAATCCCAGCAATTTCCGGCCATCTACTAGTCTAGAAGTCCCAATTTTTTAAAAACAAATTTTGTTTGGGGGGAGGGACATCCCCCTCCCATACCCAACCCCGGCTCAGGCCTTCGGCTATAGTTACACCCATAAATACTCAGTCCCCCCAGTCGGACATCTTAGCCCCCTCCCCCATAAATTATAACCTAGAGCCGCCACTGGACCAAAGATCTAAGGAATATCCTAACCGAAACAAATGGAAACAACCGAAGAGACAAAAAGAAAGCAGAAGAGACCATGAAGTGCTCCGTTCTCCAGCAGTTTTAGGCCCTAAATAAGGGCTCGCTGGAACATGGTTCACAGGAGCAAGTTACACATCTGGCTATCCTATCCTAAAAATGGCAGAAAAAGAAAAACAAATTATTAACAGAGTGAAATAAGTGGGTATTATAGCCTTGTCTTAACAGATAATGGGAAATCGCAGAGTATCAGGTACTGTAGTGCTTTCCATGGCTGTGTGGCAGCGAATATAAATGATCGCTCACCATAAGATTGTAAACGGCTTGGTGGACAGAAGAGCATAAGTTGAAAAGTGGCAAACATGAATAATAATAGCAAACCAGCATTATAACAGATTGATGGAACATGCTGAAATGTTGTGGTTTCTGTTAATTCCTGGTTTTCACATTTTTAAGTGCCTTGAAATACCCTGAGAAAGACGCTCCAGAAATAATGACATTGACATCATAATATAGTAGAGCATTAAATACGTCTGGAGCCATCCTAAAACATGAGAAGCGGATGCACCATATTATTGAAAATACAGACATCTAAAACATCTAAACTACAGACAATCAAGAATGCAGACATTCCATTCAAGAGAAAACCACAGGCTACCATACCAATCCAGAAACAAGTTAAAGTTTAGCACGTTGGCTGCCAGCAACGAGTATACACGCCCACAGGGTGTTGCGGATAGGGAAGAGTATACTCATCAAAATCTAACTTTCTAGCGTTTATAACTTCTTTGTTTGAAAAACCTGAGACTCAACGGCTGGTAGTTTGGGGAAGATATACTTAGACGATAACGTACAAATGACATATGTATGTTTGTTGTGTTATGTTGCCGGTAGTACACTTGAGCGGCACAAGTGGGGGCGCCCTTTGAACATATACCAAAAAGCAAAAAAGCGGATGGGGTAACTTGCACTTGGCATAGTCAATAAAAAGTGCTATCACAGTGGCATCAACGAGATTACTCGCCCCCTAATATTTTCCCAGAAATTTATGACACATCATTTTGATGACTAGATAAAATTTCATAAAAGTATGTTTGTACATGTAAATTTGTTCCAAAAAGTATGTTTGTACATGTAAACTTGTTCAAAAAAGTATGTTTGTACATGTAAACTTGTTTGGCACATGGGAAGGAACCTCAAAAAAAGGTCTGGCAGTCAACGTGTTAACTTCAATTTTTGTATTATGGTCTGGTATACAAAAATTTAAATTATTTTCATTTGACAACACCCACAATTATGAAATTACAATCAATTTATAGTAAATATTAGCATACGTTGCTTTATTGAAAATCACTTTATAAAGACCCATGACTCGGCTTTAGTTTAGTGTGTATGTTTGTCTTGTGTAAGGGATTGTCACCTACAAGTAAGATAGTGATATATTCGCTGTTGACAATCCTTGGCACATGTATTGTGTGCCTAATAAATAAATAAATAAATAAAGCTATTGGTTCAAAAAGTATAATGATGTGGATGATAAATATATAGTCAATGACTGTAAATTTTTTATGCAGTTCAAGTAGGCTACCAGTACTGTTCCAGTAGTATACCAAGTTATACCAATGCAGGGGTTCGAAGTTTGATGAACCCACTTTTCAGAGAGATCCAGTTGTGGTGGATTCAAAGGCCCGACTCCTTCCCCCCGCCTAAATTTTTTCAAAAATATTTTTAAAAAAAAGAAAAAAAGAAAATTATTATATTCAAATTTAAGTGTAACAGTGGCATCTCCAGCCATCTGTAGAGGTGCCGAAATTATAAATTTTCTTACCTCATCCCCAACCATGGTGGGGCTGAGGAGGTATAGGCCCCAATCTGTGAAAGTCCTTCCCTGGGCCCCTCTATTTCAATTTCCAAGATGCAAACACTCTGAATTTAAATTAATCAATTGTACCATGGTGCCATTCCAAATGTTGTCTCTCATGATATCACTCAAAAAAGAGATTACAAAAAGGGGCATTTTGAGTACTGACTTAGAACTGTCTGAAGTGAAGGTGAATGTTTAATGTTCAAAGGAAGTTTATTCAAGAGCCTTTGGTCGGTAGTGCTGAAAGCCTGATCCCCAGGTTTTCTCCTTGGGATGTCCAGGAGCGCTTGTTGGCAAGATCTTGGTTCTCGTCTATAGTTCTCTCTTTCATGTTTAGCAATTTGAGGAGATTGGTTAGTTTCTGCGACGACAGTTTTGGTCAGTGCCTGGAAAAATGTTTGGACCCCTGCCAAAGTATACTAAAGTAAGGATGTAGTAAAAAGTCAAACTATTATATCATTATTAATAGAAAATCATGAATTGAAGTGTTTCTCTACACATTTGTCCTTATTTTACTATAATTCATTCATTTTCTGCTGGGAACAGCATGCATGATAACCTGTCTTCTTAATAAGTAATAAACACTCTTTTAATAGGTTTTTGCCAAAGTGACTTGGCCGACCAGCCTTATATTAAACAGATTGCTTATCCACTATTTAAAGAAGAAAAAATCTTTTCTATAAATAGCTGTTGTTTTCTCTGAGCCTAAACTTTTTCACTATTCTTCCTAACTCATTACTGAAAAAAAAAAAAACCTTCAGAATTTATTATAAAGGTTTTTAAAAAAATTTTTGTTTTGTTTTTTGTTTGTTTTCATTTTTTTTAATAGTTTTCGCCAAAGTGACTTGGTCGACCAGCCTTATATTATTTGCTTATCCACTATTTAAAGAAGAAAAAAATCCTTTCTATAAATAGCTATTGTTTCCTCTGAGCTTTCATTATTCTTCCTAACTCATTACTGAAAAAAAGACACCTTCATAATTTATTATAAAGGTTTTAAAAAAAATGTTTTGTTTTGTTTTTTATTTATTTTCTTTTTTTTTTTATAGTGGCCTTTAAATTTATACTTTGACATTGAATACACTGGACATTTTCACAGCATGAAGCAAACACAAATTCATTGAATACAAACAAATCCAGCTATATTTAATGCCTTTGATGAATATTAGGTGCAGATACTATAGACAGATTCAAAGTCAAGTCTGAGAGTGCCATTTCTGTCCATCTAGAAGTGATAGGGACATAAAATGTTATACCTCAGCCCAAACCATTGTGGGGCTGAGGTAGTCGGGAACTTCATTGAAAAATTCCCTCCCTGTGGCTATCACCTGTCCCTATTCAACATCATGCTGTCAACTCAACTATTAAAAACATGGTATATCCATATACGTCCTTACAAAACATGGTTTTACAGTGACAACACTCATTTAATCCTAGACACTCATTTAATCTTAAGTTTGTTCACACTTATTCTCGTACTAATTCGTTTAAGTTTTCCGTTTTTAATTCCTTTCCTTGTACATGGGATAGTTTACTCAAAGAGGTCAGAGACATGCTTTTGTTTGGTATCTGGCCCTTTTAAAATATACTTAAAGAGCTTTTTTGGGAGATGTAAGGCTGGCAGATTTTGGCAATAACTTTTTAATTTTGTTTTTGTTATTGTGAAATTTGAAAATTTTTAATCGTTTTATAGAGTATTTTATCCTTTTTATTTTTATTATTGAAAAATGTTTTGTAATTTTATATGAAATTTTCATCTCTTATATCTTATATTTTATTGTGTTTGACGACCCACTTGATAGAGATTTGAATCTGTTTTGGGGAAGCCTGCCTCCTTTTCGTCTGTTTTTTTGGTGTGTTCATATTGTAATCTGTTGAGGCGAATAAATGAATTGAATTGAATTGACAGGGCACTGGGATGAATGTGGTTCAGACAGTGGCATATGTAAGGACTCTTCCCAATTTTCCCCCACTGAAAATGTCTGAAGCATAAAAATCAAGCACAGTAGCAAAAAAAAAAAAAAAAAAAAAAAAACTTCAAACTTTACTCCTAGAATAGATTCGGTTCACTATAGCAACTCCCTGTCCAAACTAAACAACTTTCCTAGCCTATAATCTTAACTCTAATTATGTCTAACTAGGCCTACAGATCACCTTAGCTTAGATGATCACACTTTCATTGTATATTACACATCAAAAACACTCTCCAAAATATCGACCTCATCTACTGGATAGTTTCCGGTCTAGGCTCCAGAGCGAAAATCGCACTCGCCAACCCGTTCTTCTTTGACTTTTCCCTCTGTCGCACGTACTCACTCCATCCACCTCCCAGAGGCCTAAGATGCTGATTAACAAAACGACAGTTTTTCAACCAATATATTATAGTCTCAATCCACGAGTGTTATATATTACATTTGGTTCGCGTGATTCTCTTCTATAAATGTATTCCTTACCTTCTCATTGTCCTTTGTGAACATAGTGCCGTTGGTTTTATTCACAACCACCGCCACTCCGAGTATATCATTCTCACTGTTTGTAACGGGTAGCAGAAGTAAACTCCCGATGGGACACCCTAGAAGTTGCTCGAGTTCTTCTTGTTGTGCAAGTTCCTAAACAACAAAACATCTCAATTAAATTCCAAACAAAAACTCATTAAGAATTGTTCTTTTTTTTTTTTTTTTTTTTTTGTTTACTCGAAAAAAAAGAAGAAATAGACCTATTAGGCAGTGGCGTATCCACATTCGAAAACTTCGAACCAAAAAAAATTAGGCTAGGCCATGGAGTTATTTTCATGGCTAGGCTTATGCTAAAAAAAATTGAGTTAATGCTTTTCTCAACTTCCCTTTTTTCCCTTTTCTTCTTAAATACTGCGTTCAAGAGATATACTTTAACATATCTGTCACGGTTAACGTGTATTCGGGAATCTAAGAAGCAATATTTTTCAGTGGGCGTGGCCACCGAAAATAAATTCCACTCCCCCTCATATTTTGGTCGCGCCCCCCACCCCCCATTTTAATACTGCTAGATACGCCACTGCTATTAGGCCTACTTCCGAAACATTAATTTATACAGTGCGGTACTTCATGGGTCGTTGAAGAGAGATGGTTGCGCACGTGCATAATGGTTTCCAGGCGTACAATGGCACGTGATAGTAAAATTGTACAGTAAAGAGTAGAAATTCGTATCCTCCAAGGTCGTATTATAACAAAAGACTCCTTGTGTGTGTATGGCAATCTTTCTATTATCTTTCTTTTTAGTATATAGCCCACTTAAGTTACAAGCAAGTATGTACCAGTACCAGTATCCACGGAGAATGCCCCACACCAAATATTGTCTTGATCAAGCGCTTTTTTAGTTCTATATTTATAGTTAAGCCAATGATCCAAATCTAACAATACCCAGTCATCAAAATTGGAATTTCTTTACTTGCCGGAATTGTATTTTATTATCAAGTTATTCTAAATTATTGTAATGTTCAGCTTTGTGATAAAAAGGAATAATTTACATGAAACAGTAATTTAGTAAATTAATCAAACTACCGTATTATTGCATATGAAGTAATATCCTGAGCATCATTAAGAATATTTTTTTTTTTAAGAATTCTAATAAATGTATGGGAATTATTCATTAAATGCGTGGCTGTAATGAACTATTTACAGTCACAGTGTCCGGATCTCTCTCGGGAGACAACATGTGTATATAATTCACGCGTGATTCTCATCTCAATTCTCTTAGTGCACAAGATAATGGTCATGAACTGGTAGAAACGCATTAAGCTTTTTCTTTGCTCTATGGTGTAAGTTTCCTAAGGAAAGGTAATTTTGATCGAACTTTCACTAGTAATGGGATCAAAAGAATGTTTCTTTAACCGAAAAGATGTTTTTTTTTTTTCTTCTTTTTCTTTTTTTTTCTTTTTTCCGAAAGTCTTCGATGTGGTATCATCCCAGTTGGTCGAAATCCAGTTTGTCGAAACCCGCTTTGCAGAATTTAACCCACTTTGCCGAGAACCCAGTTTGCCGAATCCTGTTCACTGAAAATATGAAATCCCAGTTGCCGAAACCCGGTTTGCCGAACTCAGTTTGCCGAATTTGAATTTTGTCGTCACCGCCGTACAAAAGCGCAGCACGCTACTATTTAGAAATAAAATGTAATAAACTATGTAGGCGAAATCGAATGTAAACTATTTTGAGCTAAATGTAATAACGGTAATTATTGTAGGCGAAACCGAATGTAAACTCAGATGTAACAACCACAACAAAATTAGTTAAGACCATCAAAAGGGCTTCCTGTTGCTCACCACTTTGATTTTACCGAGCCAAACTATCAGTGATTTAGGCTTTATAATCTTAGGCACTAATTTTAAATCTACTGTACTAAGGCCAGAGGACTGGGCGGATACACCCGGGACGTCTTCTAGCCTTAGTAGATCTGAAATTGGTGCCTAAGATTAAATAGCCTAAATCACTGATAGAATGGCTCTTTAATTTGAATAGTGAGCAATAAATAGGGAAGCCCTTTGAAGCCCTCTAAAAATAAAAGCTTCACTATTCCTGCCTAAAAATACATTATTCATTGGCCTATAATGTTTTGAGGCATCTACTGATTGATGACCACCTGATGAAGGGCGATGCCCGAAAACAGTGATTTTACCATTAAAAGTTCTCCTCAATCTGGCATTCGGCAAACTGGATTTCGACCATCTGGCCTAGATCCTTTGATGTAGCCACAGATCCCTAATAAGTTGATAGTTTCATTTTTTCTAGCAAAAGGTGCATTCATGAATTGAAATAAGGCAGACCTCCTGTCACGTTAACAAAAGATCATGAACCATTTCTGATAACACGTATGATGCACTGACCAAAACGTATAGTCATGAATACGCACACGTGCATTTACGAACGTTTATGCTGTTTTAGCGTGTGACGGTGGCTGTGAGGCAACAATGGTGCTAAAATGAAAACTTCGTTGTTGGTGTGTTGGTTATGCCGAGAAGGCTCATCCGTTAAACCAATTCTCGTTAATGTTGTAATTTATGATTGTTTTGCGTCAGATTGTAATTTAAATCCCAGAAAGTTTCGATCTACAATGGGGATCTTATTCATGTCGTCAAACGTAAGCCTCTGTATTTAAAATCTTAAAAATAATTCATATGACATTTTTTTTACAGTGTTTAATACCATATCAGTGCTCATCAAACAAATGTAAGATAATGAATACAAAATGTCAACTACCAGATATCGTGTTTTTACATGACGACTCCGAAAAATCAGTTATGAGTTTTCCCATTTTCTTGTAAGACGTCTGTGGGTAGATTTTTCATTGAGGTGTAACAGGGCTAGGCCTGACTGGGCTTGCATAGTTTTGTCATTAACTTGCCATCAGCCTAGTAAATTAATTTAGATATTTTTTTAAGCTGAATACCGTAAAACCTCGAATTGAAGCCCAGTGGGCTTATTCTTGAGATGAAGCCCATCTCGAATTGAAGCCCCTTCTTTAGTTTGCAAAATTAGCCTAAAAAAAAGCCCATCTCGTTATCATATCAAAATAGCATAGGCTTCTTTTCGAAATACCTGTATACACTGTGCATGAATTTCAGAAAATAAATTAAAAACAACATTGCTTATACATTAGTTCGGTGATTTAATGCCAGTTAAATACACTCCAAATAGGCTACAGATTGATGTTACAATGACCTTATTTATTGTTTAATTGTACAAATTCACAAAATTTACAGCATTCATTTTGAAAAAAAGCCCCCCCCCCTCCTCTTTACGTTTTAAAAGTAGTCTCGAAAAGAAGCCCATCTCGAAAAAATAGCCCATCTCGAAAATCTGAGTTCTTTCGTAACAACGTAATTTATATATGATGCAACTTTAAGATATTTTGATCTAAAATGTTCATACAAATTGAAAAATAAAATGAAATTTACATTTAATTTCTCCTAGATTACATAATACACAGAATCCATTTTCTCTGGCATCTATCCTCCTATTTCGACCGATAATTCATGTGTTGGATACAGGAAGACTTAAAATAGACTTAGGTGTCCTAAACCCATTTAAATCAATTAGATAATCTTTTCTTACAAAATCATGTTTAACGTACAGTATTTATAAAAAAACAAACATATTAATTTAGTGCAAAAACTATTGTCTTGGGGTAAATCCTGCTATGGCAGTTTTTCATTCTATCTGGCAGGCCAACGTTCTCTTTTATAATATTTTGTTGTTTTGTGACTATTTAAAATTATTGCAATAAATAAATAAAACTGTTTTAATTAAGGTGTAACTAATTTTCTTTCTTTCACTCAGTTTTTCATCACCGTTGGCTGTGACGACGCAGCGCTCATAACCATAACAATAACGATAACGATAAAAAACAAACTAAAAAGCGATTGTTGATATATAGAAAACAAAAGAAATAAGAGAAGTTTTTACACTAGAACGATTCGATAACGATTTATCGTGTATAAGATAACAAAATATTTTAACAAATCAAATCAGATGACGTCAAAATCATGGAAAAACGATGAAATCGTTGCTACTAAGTTTTTCCATGATTATGACGTCATCTGATTTGATTTGTCAACATGTTGTTATCGCATAACTGATAAATCGTTATCGAATCGTTCTAGTGTAAAAACTTCTCCTATTTCTTTTATTTTCTATAAGAACAATTGCTTTCTAGCTTTTTTATCGTTATCGTTATCGTTGAAGTGTAAACAGGCCTTAAAGCTCTGTCCACACTATCGAATTTGTGTGATGTGCCCAAAACATGATCATGGTGATGTCATGTTACCTCCAAATATAGGCACATAACATTTATTTAATTGTCACATAAAATTTGACAGAGCTTTAGAACAGAATACTGAATGGCAAATTTTAGGCAAATTGTTTCCCTGTTCTACAAAGTATTAGCGGACTCGCATAATTTTAGTCGGTTCTCTAGGAGGTTGAAATTATTAGCTTTTGATACCGTAACGCTACCGACACGGTATATGTCTTAATCGCTCCCTTGTGTTTCATTTGCATAAATTAGGTTCTGTATTGAGACGCGATGGAATAAATTATTTTATTGCAAATCCTAAATGAGATTGTTTTACTAAGCAACCTCGCTGGAGAATTCACAATTCTAGAATTTATATGTCAACGGGGTCAATAATGTTTTACATTTTTTGTTATTCCAAAAGGATATTCAAATCAGCAAAATGTTGTAAATAGCAATCCTTTGCACAAGACAAACGTACACTAGATGCTCTACAGAACATAGAGCATAGAGTAAAGCTGCTTTATGCACAGACTGAGTATCGTTATGAGGCTGAGAGTCGAGATGTTTGGAGTCGGCGAAAGAAAAAATCTTGTAACCATGATTTTACGAAAGACGCTGAGATGAAAGACAACCAAGCTAATTAAACGCCACTGAGTTAGTATTCACACTATCTAAAACAAAAGAGTGAATTTCACTCTAAACGAGTGCCTACGGAGATCATTCAGATTTTAATATTTCTCGAGTGAATAGCGAAAAATTATTGAAATGCACTTCTGAATAGAGATATTTTAGGCCTACTCATTTTCTCTGTAGGCACTCTTTTAGTCCTTTTTAACTCTTTGAAATTATAGAGTAATAATGTTGTCATTTGCTACTTACATGAACAAATTAAAGTTCATTTGTCTATGCAAAACGGACATTTTGAACTACTTTTTGCGAAGCGAAAACTGTGCGTAACCAATCAGATTCAGTAACCGAACCGACGCCTTCGATTCCAGGATAAATTCGCCTAGTGGAAAACTTTACGTGTAGTGTGAGCGAGATATGCGTGTCGTCCACACGTTTAGCAGATAGCAACCGGCGTATGACGTCACAAATGATGACGTCCGTCACCCTGACCGTATGCTTTCGCGTGCGAAACATCCCTAGGCCTACTGTCGTCTTGTGGGACCTTTGCAACAATAAGGGATAGGAGCGGAATGTTATAGTAGAAGTGTAGGCATGGGGATAAAAAGGAGCTGGGCTTAGCGGAAAGGTCCATTGCAGGATGGGGAAATCCAAAAATTAATTGGACATAGCATTTTAAGAGAGCGCCAACCAACAATTGAGAAGATTTGGTCACAGCATTGTTGTCGTGTTCCCATTTTAATGGTAGAAGAAGTCATGACCATCTATGGAAACTATGTTAAGTAATTTCTATAGAGAACGTCAATAAGTGAATTCCAAATGAATTTGGCCTGCAGCTGGTTTGCATATAGCGTCCAGAAATGACATCATCAATAATTACTACGTTTCAATCAGTATAGTGGAGATATCATCAATGTGTGGGGCTTGCATCTTCATTAGATGATTAATCAAGATGAAGTGATAGCAAAATACGAAGGGACGTCTTTAACTTTCATCATGCAAATTTATGCCAGGAATATGAAGAGCAATATCGTACTATACGTTGATATCACTGGTATTATTTTAAAATTATCACGATAGTAAAGAGAACAACAACAACTAATAGCCCTAAAGATGATGATGATGATGATGATGATGATGATGATGATGATGATGATGATGATGATGATGATGATGACGATCATAATGGTAATAATAATAATAATAATAATGACGATGATTATGAAGATAATGATGACGAAGATGAAGATGATAATGATGATGACGATGATAAGATGTAAATTATAATTAACTGTGTTAAATTACAATAGATAAACGTTCTAATAATGTATTAATTATCATGGTAATAACGACACCAATCAACATAATCTACTATTCTAATTAAAACGAAAACGTTAATGTATTTAAGCAGACTATTGTTATTAACGTTAAAATAATAAAAATGAAAAAGAACAAAATAATAATAATAATAGAATAACTATAACGGCTATAACAATAACAATTATTATTATATTTATTTTAAAATGTACTTCTCCTCTTCCTTTTTTTAAATAATCCCAGAAGAAAAAAGAAATTCTTTTTTATACTTAGCCTAATGATTTGGTGTGCAAGTCACGGACTTAATGCTCATAAAAGTAGTTAGTATTGTAAGTAATCTTGCATTCATATCAAAATATTAGAATTATTAGCAATCGTTCTTAATTTGAATTCACAAACCATGCGAGTTTAAAAATGACGATGAAGATGATGGTGATAATGATAACATCGATGAATGGTAATAATAATAGTTAGGGGCCTATTATTTATTATTAAAAGGGCATCTTTCTCCTTCACTTTTTCGTAAACTCAAATTGTAAATGATTACTATTTCAATACATTTAGCCTAATGGTTTGGAGCACTGGTTTGGAGTGTAAGCCATAGATTCGATGACCATATTCGATGTCCATAAACAGCCAGCAATGTAGATAGTGTTGCATTCATATCATAATAATGCGTTATTATGATTGTAGCAATGCATGCCTAGATAGTGTTGCATTCATATCATAATAACATATATTTGAATTCACAAACAGTGAGTTAGATAGAGTCCGCGAAGGATCTATGACACATTTTCATCTGAGTGAATTTCTCATTTGTATTGTAAATATTATCGTAATGTTATTATTATAATAAGGCACAGCAAATCTATTAAGGCTCCAGTTTATACTGTCTTCTTATCACTATCATTATTCTCATCATCATCATCGTCGTCATCGTTATACTCCCCCACATCATTTCAATCATCATCACCTTAATCATTATCATTATCATTCAAATTACCATCATTTCGTTAATCGTTATCATTAATATCACCAGATCAAATCCTAGGCCTACCTACCATCGCAATTCACCAATTAACACTGATGGACTATACAGAGACAGGTGTAGAAAAAGTTCCAAGGGGCGTAGGCAAATTCCAGCCTGAGATTTAAGCCCTACCTCGTGAAATCTGCATTACTGGAATTACTGGACCTGCGTATAACATGGCGTTTCCAGTGAGAAAAGCTTTCAAAAAAAGCTCATACTGTATGTACGAAAAAATATTGTTCTACTTTTTTTTTTATCTCGTAAGACTAGATAATTAAGTCGTACGTACGAGATATTATCTCGTACGTACGAGATAGGCCTACTATCTCGTAAGTACGACTTAATAAAAGGTAAAGGTAAAGGTAGGAGAATAACCCATAACTTGCAGCGTCATTGTGCTGAATTGCGTATGGGCGTGGTCCGTGATTACCTAGCAGCCGTAAAGAGGCGCCACCTCATTCCACAACGACAGGGGATGAAATGAACCATAACATCGGGGTAACCCCCTACTCTTCCGAAAGATGCAACGGGTTCTTTAAAGTGCACACGAGCCAGATGTATACACTGGACCTCTATGTTAAGTCCTTGTCCGAGAAGACTTGTTTCTACCAACCGAACCATGGGCGAGAAGCGCCTGGAACCAACGCCGATGTTAAGGCTGTAGCTAGCGGCACCCCTGCCTTAAAGCTCGGCCACTCGACTCGTACGGACGAGATAATATCTCGCACGTCAGATAATATTATCTCGTACGTACGACTTAATTATCTCGTCGCGATAAGCGTCGATAGCTCATTTTCCAAGGAATTTAGTCTTAGATTAGATAATATACCGGTACATATTTTATATTTAGAAGATCGCACTTTTAGAAGTTGAAAATGGTTTTCCGGTCTTTAATAAAAGGAAATAAAAATAACATTTCAAACGAATTTTTTTACACGATTTGTGAACATTTTCCACACTATTTGTTCTACACATTTTTTTTTCAGGCACTTAATAATAGGTCACTTTAAACCGGTACATTTCCTACCAGAGCAAACATAGATAGAACGACATACATCATAAAGCTGACCAAAGGGCATTTACCTTATCCATGACGTCATTAGTCACACCGGCTTATGATTCATTATATTTATTATTTATTAAAAACGCAAATATCATATTGTGCATCAACGGAACTATACAAAGTGGCTTCTCTCCATTAAGTTAATTTGTATAGAAGCTAAATGGTGTGCTGTACTGCAAAATACTTACCTCTAATTGACCATGTAATCGGAGCGCTTTTCCGGTTTCGATCACTTGAGCAAAATTTCCAACTATCGGAGAAATTACAGGGCCACGTTCACTATCTGACGACGAACCGCCTTGGCTGTCAACTGAGCGGCTTTTATGCACTAACTGTTCTTTACCTTTTGGACCTTCTAAGAGCAACACCGCCGTCCTTTCGGCGTCGACTAATATGTTTACATTTTTTTCGATCTTATCACACAGACTGGTGAGGTCCAAGTCGTGAGAAATGTCCTTGACAATCGCCAGGAAAAAATCGCGTTCATTTGTCGACCGTAGAAACATTTTCGTTTCGTGTGTAATGTATGTTTTATGAGGCAGTTGTACTTGGGGTTCTAACAGAGCACTTAGTGTCATACCTGGACTCGGCGGAGGAACTGTCGAAGCTCTTCTGAAATGCTTCCGACTGTTCCGCCCTTCGACACTTAACTCACGCGGCGAAACCGGTCTGTCTGAATCGTCCGTATATCCATCTTCCGTATCCGATGTCGATGGTGCCCATGTATGGAAGACTGTTTTAGATCGGGCTTTAGCGAAATCCTGCCGTAAATATTGCCGAGATCCAGACCGCGGTCTGGCATTGGCGGAACGAATACTTTCCTCTTGGCGATCATTTTGATCCGAGGTAACGCGCTTTCGAGGAAACAGACTATCGGCCTTCACCGCGTCATTCCACCTGTGAACTAAGGTGGAACTGCCACCTTTTCTTAGAAAATACTCTTCAAACCAATCCTGGTGGAAATCCAACCATTCCTCGATTTCTTGTTCTGTCTTGGAAAATATCTTTCCTCCTTTCCGAACACGTAGCGAAGCACTTCGGTCCATACCGATGCCTTAATCACAATTCAACGAAACTATTACCATTAATTCCAATATATCGTGCGAAACACTTTTATCCATTTATGATATAGGCCTACAAATATATCACTATCAAAAATTGATTTAATCACACTGACTGCGGCCAAATACTATAAGACATCGGTGTATACTAGCACACGGAAGGCATCAGACGACCTTTCCAATGGAAGATACGGTATCATCGTTATGTTAAAAATATAAACAAACATGCGCACTTACGACCGAATATATCCGGGCATGTCCTATTCAGCAACTATAGAACATTATCCTTTAGGTGCGATAACTGCAAGAATGAGTGTACATATTACCGTAAAGAGAATGCGCTCAATTTACATCGGGTAAAACTGAATACACAATTCGGAGATCAATGCGTCAAGTTTGCTTTCACATTACGTACAATAAATTAGCATGCATTAGACATTATTCGTGATCGCTTAAAATGATGCGGAAGCGTGCTTATATTATCTGAAGTAGTTAGGCCTGCTATTGTAGTAAAATCCAATAAGTCTACGTGCAGCAAATGCAGTAAAGCGTCTCCATCACAGATTTAAATAGCCAGGCTTCCGTAGCCTACTGTACCCAGCCGAGTGTTTTGTTATCGAAGGATTCAATCAAAGTTAACGCGAATCTCTTCAGATTCCACGGTATGAATGGACAACTCCAAAACCCCTGAATGACGTCACAGATAATTGTCGTTGAGAAAATAATAATAAATAATTTCCGGCGTTCGGTTACCGGAAATAGCACCATCAGCCAGGGAAGTCTCAACCAGCAACTACTATTACCATAGTCAATAAATTCCCTTAGTTTGAAATATGCCCTTCCACTTGCAGACTAAAAAGAGATAAAAAAATATATAATAGAGTAACCCTCTAGTAAAAAATTCATGAATTCATTCATTCAATTATGTCATCGATGCTTATTTTTAATTTAATGTACTTTCGATGTGGTGACCAGGATTTTCCTAATGTGAGAGAGACGGGGCTAAGCTTCTCACAGGAAGTCCGACAATGTTCGAAAAAAAAACCAGCAGGTCTATGGCAAAGCTCGGTGGAACCAATTGGCTGTCCATAGAAAACTAGACAATTGAACTGTTCTTAGACATCAAATATTAGGCCCATACCAAAAGATATGCAAGAAATAAAAAAATTTTAAAAAATGTTTTCTCTTTTTTGGTCCCAACAAGTAGGCGTCGACGGTCTCGGTTTGTCGGACAGAGGCTCAGGTCCCTCCCCTAGCTCCGCTGGCACCGGCATATCGTATCATAAAATTAAGCCAATTAATGAGTATGGGACCTTAGATCAGTGGCAGATTCCAGATAGAGATCCACCAGCCCCCACCCCTACATTTTTTATTATTATTATTTTTTTTTAATAGGAAAAAACACTCCACAATTATATTCAAGTCTGAGAGGGTCATTTCTGGCCATCTGGGATGCCATAATCCGGACCATAATCATAATATCCCCCATCATCTTTGAATTTTAAGTCCTTCCGTGGGTCCCCTCTATTTCGAATTCCTCGATCCGCACTGAGAATCACAGTAGGCCAGGCCCCAATTTATTGGCATACAATACACCGAATGTTGATGGATTCTGTAGCTACCACCAACATTGGGTGAAGTTAATAAAAACTAGGCATACACTGTTCCAATGTGCCTTATCTTAATTGCCATACTTAACGGACAGACGACTCGGAATTTCGCAAGACTGCAGGGGCGGATTTAGGGGGGGTGGGGCCAGTTCCCCCCCCCCCTTTTTTTGGAAGGTAAAAAAGAGAAAGAAAAAAAAAAGAAAAAGAAAAAATTGATCGCCCGGAAAACGCCTCAGAGATTATTTTCGTACGTCTAGAACACACACACACACACAAAATAGCCAAGGGTAGTATTATTTCGATCAGCCTCACTTTTGCCCCCCGACCCCCACTTTTTTGACATCTCTGGATCCACCCCTGACACTCTCTGCAATCACATTACCCACGTCTGTCACCTATAGCTTACCTTGACAATAACATTCCCGTGTAGTCTCCTATTAACATTACTTTCATCGGCGTACAATATAATGAAAATAATGAACAATAACAGTTCAGCCTAAAATGTATAAGTTGGCGAGTTTTTCCTAGTTTGCTTCACGATATCCTGTCTGTAGTCTTTGTTACTTGGCCTATCGTAATGTCACTTTTTTCGACGAGCGAAATAATTTAAACTAAACATAGCTATCAAGTAACCTTTTGGACTCTACCATTATTAGGGCCTATAATATTGTATTTATTTTATTCGATGACTTAAGGTCTTTTGTCATCTCTCGTCTAATATACAACTGCAGCAATTATTTGGAAGTTTTTTGTTTTTGTTTTTTGTTTTTGTTTTTCTTTTAATGAAATTTGCTGGTATCTTTTTTTTAACTTTTGAACTTTTTAAATGTAAAAAAAATATATGCAGATAAAACGTAGACCAAATATTACACCCCCCCCCCCCCAATCTCCAAATATTAAACACCCAGACCCAATGTAATCAACAATGTATAAAAGGCACACAAATTTCCATCTTTTTTCAGTGGCGTATGAAGTAGACCTAATTGACATCGGGGGTGATGGCGAGGGCGGTTTTTTGTTTTGTTTTGTTTTGTTTTTTGTTTTTTTGTTGTTTTTTTTTTGGCTCAGCCAGCTTCTAGCATTTTTTTGGACGAAGCTTTTTAGTTGTTTTTTTTATCGTTATCGTTGAAGTATAAATAGGCCTTAACTGCAAGTGTCAACATGTGTGATATAGCTTCTGAGCTTACTTGAATAATGTATCTTCTTTCACATTTTCCGCAATACAGTATGCATTACATGAGGTAAGCAAAGAAAATACATACTGCTAGCAGACTCAAAAAGTTCGTATTATCATCAGCAAAGGGTTTGACATTTAACTTGTATCGTTTATATTGATCCACGTCGAAGTTTGTTCGTGTTATAAATGACAGCTGAGGTTCTCCTGACCAGAGCCGAGAATTTGATAGAAGAAAGCAAAAGGGAAGGAGAAAAACAATGTAACTCATTAAAGCGATCTCTTAAGCACGCTAAGCACTCTCTACGGAGAATAGATGGACGCGAAGATATGTACAAGGCCACTTATTTCCTTCAATACATGAAGATATTTTTATATTCCAGGGTGACTTTTAAGGCCTACTTCTTTACTGATAAGAGAGGGCGCTAATTGCTTACTATATATTATCTCACAATGAAAATGTCTTTTCAGAAATAGCCCTAACCGGTGTTCATTAAAATGTTTGTATTCATAAATATACATATTTCAACGGATATTTTTTCTTACATTAGAAATATGTAATTATGTTTATGTTTATACATGGTTGACAGCTAGTCAAAAGTTGTAAAGATGAATATTGAGTAGGCCTACAGTAAAAGGGCAGAAAATATTAATATTTATGCTACTCAGTACCCGAAATATAACTTGGTAGTTGTATACTACTACTTGGTGTAATATAACTTGGTAGTTATATTACACCAACTTGTTATCTAATCTAGCATAGGTTTTCTAAGCATACTGTATAGGCCTATTATGTTTTCCAAAGTCACATCGTCATAGCAAGTTTGTATAGGCTCCTAATTAATAACAATGTAGTCATATAAACTATTTCCTCCATGGTCATATAGCCCAAGGAGCGTCTGGTTCGGATTTCTAGAATTCTTTTAGCAATACATTTTGTGCTAATTCCTCCATGGTCAAACCTAGTATTAGGTTAAAAAAAAAATGCTGTCTTGCCCTTAAATGGAAATAAAGCGAGATCGTCGTCGGTTGGTCCGTCGGATTTTTTTTGTTTTTTGTTTTTTGTTTGTAATACTTGAAATAGGATACGGTAGGCCTCAAACTAGCTAGTAGTTCGTAGGCACAATAACGATAGCTAGCTGGCCAAACAAAAAATATTCAAAGTAACGACGGATTAAATACTAATCAAGTGTATATTGAGATAAATTTGACAAAAATAAATCAGTTAATGAAAGTTTTATTTGGCGTCGAAACGTAAAATAATAATGTGTGTGCAGTGTATCGGAAACACGATCACGCGCTGGCAGGTCGAGCAAAATTATACTATGCCTATGAAAAATGTTCAAACAAGCGCCCTCTATGTAATACAATCGAATAAAAAAGAGAAAATATTTTCGTTCATGGTTGGCCTAAAACCGGCGTAACGGAGCCTAACAATCTCATGTACCGGCTTTAAAGGGATCGTTTGTTTATTGTCCAATATACCGTAAGGGTAATGAATACTATATTTTATTCAAGTAACCAACAGCTGTACAATAATTTAAAAAAAATAAATAGGCTAGGAGTAGATCTGGTCGTCACAGTGGCTTGACAGCTCAGCGCGAGAGAATCCGATGTTGCGTGCATATAATGTTCGGTTCTCAAAATTATGCTTTCTATTTTATCGATTTTAAGCGTGCATCTATGGCCTGATTTTATTTTTTTTTAAATACATGTTTCTAATTTGTATTTGAACAAAATTAGAAATTAAAAAAAAAAGAAAGATGCCGACCCGACTTTTTTTTGGAAAATTTCGGTCGGTCGAGGAGGGCAACAGTACAACCTATTTTTTTTTTTGGCCATATTTTTTTTTTGGCCTTATATTAGAACTATCACATGTTCGTCAAACCAGTGTTATATTGAGACTACCACATTTTATTTGATATGTGATATGCCTAAATATGCCAATAAACATCATGATAGGCACATCATGTCTCTATATGAACATACACATTTTTTTTTTTTTTTTTTTTTTTTTAAAGAAATTGATGGTTTGGACATATCTTTAACCCTTCGGCGGTATAGACACTATGTTATCGTCTAGCAATTAAATATGGCTGAAAGTGTAATTCCGGTGGAGGTGATGATGGGTCATGTGTCATCTTGAGTAAAAAAAAAAAAAAAGCCCACACATTTCCTAAAAAAACGAATCCCCATGTGGATACTTTATTAGTAAATATAATAGAGTAAGACAGTATAGAGCATAGACACACACTCCCTCTGGGAGCCTTTTTTTTTTTAGGTAGCCTGCACTATTTCTCGTATGTCAGAACAACAGAAACTACTATCAGTCGTAACGGGAATATACTAACAGTATATAGCGGGCGCTAGTCAAAACTATTCTCCACTTGGGAATACGAAAATATGTTGTTGTAGAAAAAAGCGCCGTCTCGCCCTGACTTCCGTAGGTCTTATTCAACACCCACTAACACCACTGGTCCCCAATGAAACCTACCACTCAGAAAATCATTGTATTTAGTCCACACAATTTATAATCATTATGGGCCAATTTAATTGCTAGATCTACGTGTGGATTCTCTTGAGTAGGCTTGCCTACTTGATGTTGATTTAAGCAGTTTAGATTTTTATGGTCGGGCAAATGCTACATCAACAAAGCATTTAAAAAATGTGTCAAGTGCATGCAATCGTCGCCAAAGTGTATCGTATACAAGTAGTAATTACCCTTTCCCCACGAAGTAGGGTGGCTATATTGCAATTACCCTCGCCCCACGAAGTGGGGTGAGACCGTGGATTGACCGTGGACCGACTCGAGCGTACCGACCATGTGTCAAATTCTATTTAGCTGACTGAGGGCAGCCCGGAAGGCTAACTGTTGTCAGAGAACATAATATGCAGTGGCGGATTCAACAGGCGGATTTCCCAACAGTCGGGCTTACATGTGTAAGCCCGACTGTTGGGAAATCTCACTCTTGCCGGCTGGGCCCCCTTGAATCCGCCACTGCATATTATGTTCTCTGACAACAGTTAACAGTTCATAGATGCCATAATATTTGAGGGCGAGGAGGCAAGCTACCCTCAACCCCACCAGAGCCTTCACCCCTGGACCACGACGGGGGATCTACGCGGCTCTGGCCCCGAGCGTCTGTTTGCTTGTCGGTTCACAAACAACGCTCGCTCATTAGGGCCCCCAATAACAATTACCACCAGGGCACCACAATCTTCGTGACGCCACTGCTGGTAGACCTATTATTATTATTGGTGGTTTTGTTGGTTGTGCTACTGCTGTTATGGCTGTTAATGTTACTAACATTACTATCACATTAAACCCCAACAAGATACGTCCAACTAACTGCAAAAGAATATTCCTAAGTGTGATTGCAAACGCGTTATTAATGCTCATGAAAGCTGATAGCATGGCGTTTCGATCAGATAAACGCGATGGATGTTGCGTTGTGCTTTAATGTTTAAACTTCATTTTTTTTCTTTGTTAATACTTTTCTAGTACAAGGTTTCGATTAACAAGAGAAAGCTGATAGCTTTCATATATAACGCCATATGATTTTGCGTTGTATAATGTATTCAGTTCTTAATACCAAAGAACTTCTTTTATGATTCTCTAGATCATCGTATTTCAAAGCCAGAAAGCATGTGTATATTTATCGCTTACCTTTTTATTCCATTTCAGTCAAGCATCTTTAATTTTGTGTGCACCTTTGTGAACCGTCATTGGTTTTGCGTTGTGCGTATTGTTTTGCGCGTGTCATAATAGCCTCACAAATGGCACGTTAAGCGATACTTAATTGCTTTTTTGTTTTGCGTAGTAAGTGTCGCCCGATGATTGATGTAGACAGTGGCAATTGAAAGCTGTCAGAGGATTTTATTTTTACATCGAATCTGTATCAATGAATTTAGTATAGGCCTATAACAAATTGACTGAGTTTAGCATATAACAAATTGCCACCACATAATTGCTTTTGAGCAGTGTGATTACATATTTGCAGAACTCGTCGTGACGGAACACAATCGATGACTCACTATGATTAATCGGGGACGAGGTTGACGACGATGTAATTTATTTCGTTTACTGTTTTAAATTAGTTTCTTTTACAATTTAATAATTATAATTCGAACAAGAATGTAGGCCTACTTGTCTAGACAGTCATACGCCTAAGTACTAAATAAACTGAACCTAAATAGATAATGAAATTGAATTATATTTTTAGGTTATAGTTGTTTTATTATAAACACAAAACTATAAAAACGGGAGGCGACACTTTCGCACCGTGGACCTGGGCCTTTCATCTGAAGAAGGTATGATAGTGACGAAGTGCTGTTCTCGTAAAAAGGATAGGCTTATTTCATTTTGTCAGAGAGCATTTA